TGGAATGTACCACGTCCACGGTTCAACTTTGGGAATGATCATGCAGACAATGGACCCCGGACCAGGTGCGTTCCAATTAATCTTCCTACCAATATGACCATGTTGCAAAAACAAGGTCAAACAACCTCTATACAACGAAAGGAGACTGTGACCACACAAAAGGCCACACCATCTTGGTCTTCATACCTTTAATAGTACCGGATTCACAAAGTGGTCTGTGCGCTTCATTGTCTGGACAGCCTCGTCCACTGCACTTGGGGCACAGTGAAAAAGTTGCCTTCGAGGGCTGCCCCGACTGACCCGCCTAAAGTCATGTGGCTCTGGCTGCCGGACAGTCACAGTCAAAACAGTCCATGAACATGACATGACATGACTAGAGGCCCCAGCAAAAGCGGCCATCCAACTGGTTCATGCGGTCCAGGTGACTTGTGGCCGAGGTATGTGGAATGGTTACGCTCCAAACGACCCCTTTCCTCGAGAAACTGACATGTACAAACAAACATGACAGCCGAGGTTGCGATCGCCTTGTTGCTGCCGCCTCGCAAGCGAGACGGACACTGCTTGGCCGAACGGAGTGTAGGATCATTTGCTTGTGCTATTTGCTTTAGGGAAGTTGACAAAACGCTTTGACCCGACAGGCCAGTCGAAACTGAGGCCGACACCCCGTCAAGCGGGAAGGGGCGAAGGGAACATATATTCATAGCTCACTCCAGCCGGGCCACTTCATGTTGACGCAACTTCTCTTTCGGTAGAAAAGGTGGACGGACGTACAGTTGCCTTTTGATACTATCGGTCAGTATTTCGTTTTTATGTAGCCATTTATATGCAAAGTGGATTCATCCTATTTCGTTCGAGGTACCAAGGAGCACAGCCCTACACTTTCCCAAAAGTCATTCTCATCAGGGATGGACCACAGTCAATCATTAGCAGATGCATTTACGCATATCACATTCTCTGACGGGATTGCTAATGACGCAAAATTGTAGTTGCTATAGCAATCGACTACGTTACTTATGCTTCGTTATGAGTAGGCCATTTATGTACATTTGAGGTGTAGTTTTTGAGTCAGAAGTTGAGTCGAACTATCTTGCTGGCGGTGAGGTAAGGACGGATAGTGCAGTTTGCCACAATGAAATGAACACATCTCAGCCCCGTGTGTTGCATTGGCATCCGCAATGGGATTGAAAACCGTCGCCACTCAGCCACACATACCACAGAGCAGGTGTGATTTGCAGGAGAAGCCGGGCTTTACCCCAAAAGTATGTATACTGCCATTTTCGATGGGACAAATTTGTGTCTGCCGTTACAATCGACGAAGCCGTTCTAAACTCAATAAATATGCTGCGAAACTGTCAGAAGACTAAAGTACTACTTAATTCGAATGCAAGTAGTGTTGTCGACTTTAATGAGGATAGGCGAGCGGCTTGGCTAGCTGTGAAATTACCTTCCGCCCCTGACCGACTGGCAGTCGTGGTGGTGTGGCATGGTGGTGACAAGTAGAAGATAAAACGAGGCACTACCCAAGTTCGACTCCCGTCAGAAGGTGCGAAGTCGAAACTACAGTCCAGCCTGGATGAGAATACCTTTCAAAAGCAGGGCAAAGTGGATATTAACTTGCATCGGGAGGCCTATTCAGCTCATTGAGGGATAATGCACTATTAGTGCGACCAAGGTTGACTAAAGCTCTTCTTCGGTAAGATGACATTTAGGGGGACGAAACCAAGTGAAATTCAACGGAAATTATGCTTCAGTCATTAGAGCACACTAAAAAACCCAAGAAAATTCCAATTTTTATATCATATATCAATTCTGTATATTTCTGATGATGAAAGGATTTGTAATTAAATTTTCCCACAATCATATAAATAATTTTACGTTTCCATTGAATTTCATATAGTTTTGCTTAATGAGAGGTTTGCACCGAAAGTACCTAGGTTTCCATTAATCTCATGAGATAACATTGTTGGAGAGACTAATTTCGTATGAAAGTACATGAATAAAAGATTTTTGGATCGATTTCACCAGAAGAAGATGGCTGATCTGCGTTTTACTGAAACCGTTTAGCTTTAATATGAGGTTCAAGGGGGCGCAGTCCACGAGACATCTTCCCTCGTTTCGGGTGAAAATGGGCTGAGCTTTGTATCCGAAATGTACGTACGATTCATCGTTTTGTCACATGTCTTTTGCTACATTATAACCAGGAGAGCTATAATTAGATTTTTAAAAATGTGTATTTCTTATAATGTTGTTACTTGGTAGACGATTTAATCTACCGAGATCTTCTAATGTGGAACTTGTTGGTGTATAGTGTGGTTTGGTTAAAGCAAGGTTCAAGGAACCCTAACCAGGCTTAGACAATCCCTTTCTGAAGTACCGACAAATGTGGATTTCCCTAAGTTACAATATATGGCGGATACATAAAAAGAAGCTCCGGAACTTAGGAATTAGAAGAAGATCGAGAAATGTTTCGCCTATCGTAAGTCGTAGCAACCATGTTTGTAGCAAACTGGGGAGGTATAGGATAATCAATTTACCCCCATAACTCTGGAGGATGTTGTGGAACTTTTATTGGAAAGCAGATTGAATGCTGCTCTTCCAAACGGAATAAACTATTCTCTGGACATGATGGTTGCCTTAATTAGCTTATCTGATAGATTAGCTGATGAGGTAAAGAATAGTTTTGAGCTGTATGTCAAAGAATCCAGCCGAAAAAGGATGTGTTCTTAATGGGGATTATAGATATTTATGTGTTAATAAGCTAATTGCTATGAAATCCGATAAAGGAGGGGCAGTGTTGGACATGTATGGACCAAGGCCTTTACTGATAAATTCATCAGAAAGGCTAAATTGCATCGTAGATATGACGACCGAGATGGGGGGCCTTCTGCTTGGTCGCAGTCTGCTTTAGCTTTGTGGTGCTGGTTCGACGTTGTTTTCGCAGTTTGGTCGGAGCGTCAGGGAGACCTCATGCCACGGACCTGGTCCCGTGTCCTCTGCCAGAGTGTTCGTGAGTCCCGGCACTGGACCGCTGACTTGGTACATTGCCACACGTTTCGCCGGCATCGTAAGCACAGAGTGACAACTGAACAAATTGACAAGTGACCAATTGTCTGTTCATCCTTTGCGGCATCACTCCTCGCCCCTGTTTTTGTCTTCTACCTCCCGACGCCGCATTTCTTTTGCTCAACTTCACCTCCTCTGGCCCATGCACCGATTCACACAATCCTGTGCTCTCGTTTGCTCCAATCTCGCCTAAGCGAGCGTCGCTACAACTAAGTGGGTTTAGTGAAGTGCGATCATCTCCACTACCGGTACCAGACACCGTTGGCATGGCTCCTTTTTTCCTATAAGAGTAGGGTTTCGAGACTACCAGTAAATCAGTGTAATGAGCTGTATTCACCCTATTTCGTGTAAG